AGCCAACACTTTTTCAGACGTCCCTTTTGTTTTTGTTCTTTTTTGCCCTTTCCCCCCCCCCCCCTTCTTCTTACAGGCATCGATCTTGCGTTCATTGAAAACGGTTTTATCTATCACACCAAATATGACACGGCCAACAGAATACTGACAGACTCCATCCAGAGAGCCGGTATGGATCTGATTTCACGTCTGTCCATCCACAAATATAACCAATAACAAGTTCTCAGGCTGGTAGATTGAAGCTGTTTATAATGACAAATCACTCCAGCTCACATGTGCCGCCCCTAACTTCTGATGTCTTCCTCCGAGAACCTAAAAGACACAAACCTCATTTGCTTTGTGCTTCTGTGCTGCTGACCTGTTCGGCTTTTACTTAGCAGAAAATGCAGCCAGTCAGCACTAAAGACCCGAGAAGTTTGGCATCCATCCTATCTCTCTTAGCAACCACTGGGCATCTTCCTCCTCTTCCTCCACACAACAGCTCAACTTCAAAGGCAGACATTATTAGAGAGAGGAAAGTAAGATTTCAGAGAGAGCAGGCTTATATTTTTAGTGCGTGAATGAGCAAGAGCTCTGTAAGGTGAAGGGTTAGGACGATGCACCGCTAGCTTGTGGGTTTTTTTTTTGAAACAACACGGCAGGCAAAGTGCGAAGCTGGAAGTGCTTTCATGTTCTGTAGTTGTAGTTAAAATGGATCTGTGTTTCTTCTAAATCATTTCTGTAGAAGCACGTTGAAGTGATTAAAATGAACGTTCTCGAAGGTATAGTTATTTTTGTAATCTCGGTTATTTAAGCTGAGAAAGAGAAGCTGTGGCTGCAGGTACGGAGAGAGAGAAAGAGAGAGAGAGAAGTAGAAAGAATTAGAGAGAGAGAGAGGAACAAGAAAATGTTGTAGTCTGAGTTGTTGACCACAGTGAGCCTACCAGGCGGAAGAACAATGCAGCTTTGTTTCAAATGCGTGGTTGCGGGTCGAGCAGGTCGACTGCGAGGCAGTACAGGATAACGGAAACCACACACACACACACACACACACACACACACACTTCTTCATGATGTATCCAGAAGTCTGTGCTAAACTGTGTGACTTTCTGTTGTCTCATAAATCAGCTGATGTGCTGCCGTTACGCAATACCGTCGACGCCACATACGTTTTCACCGTCATTGTTTCTCTCTCCTGCGCCGACTCGTTTTCTCCATTTACTTTTTAGGTAAATGTGAGGGATTTTAAAACCCATATGTGAGAAAGTGTTATTCTTTTCAGAATAAATCTAGCATGTGGATAAGAAGCTGTGTTTTACAGAGCATATTCAGGAATGTTGCAGGATTGTTTGTAGGCGGGCAAGTTGGTTTGATTTACATTAAACGTTTTAATGTATTCATCCTTTATAACTTTATACGTAGTTATTAATTACAAAGCAACCTTTAACTGGATAAAAAGTTTAACTTTCGAGGAGCTGCAGCAATTTGAACAGAAGATTCAGAGTTTATGGTTTCATTTCTACTGGAATGACATTGTGGAAATAATCAAGGGGAACTTGGTTAGTCATTAAGGTCTTGGGATCAGATTAACACAGGAATGATTAACAAGGAACATGAAAACCTCTTTAATGGGTTTCACTGGTTTCATATCTCCTATGTGGAGTAAAGGGGAGAGAAATCTAAACTTCAATCTGGACCGTTTTTTTGTTCTTTGTGTTTCTTAATTTAACTGGACCAAATGCAGTGAACACGGCTTCACGTCTACGCTATAAAGTAGATGTTCTGCTCAGGTTTTCTACTAATAAAACTAATTAGCCTCTTTTCAAAAATAACATGCGTGGATTTCTACACTATCTGTTTTGATTGTGAGCTGACTACTTTTGTACGCTCCTCCTGCTTCTAGGTGACAACATCTTGGCTGTTTTGAAGCACCTGGTAACGTCAGAGAAGCTGGCAGACTCCTCAGAGTATCGCCATGGGAACATGGTGTTTTTTGACCTGCTGGGGGTGATTGCCGTTGCCTATCCGGCTCGCGTTGGCACCATCATCAACTACATGGTTGCCGCAGCCACCTTCCTGTATCTAGCCAAGAAGGCGTCTCTGCCCGGCAATCGAGGCAGGTCTAGTTATCGCTTGTGGGCGAAACCCTCTGCCATTCCCTGGCCGAGTTTGCGTTTCTCTTATTGATATTTATCTAAATCTCTTTAAGGTGGGCGTTATGTTCGGGACCTGGCCTGTGCCACGGGCGTAGCGGTGCTGGGCTGGTTCGTCACTCTGCTGTCGGTGCTCATTGTTGCCCTTCTGGTCACTCTGCTGGGACGCTCCATGTTTTGGTACACTCACTTTTATGCTGCCATCTGCCTGTATGGAGCTGCAGCCACCGGGAAAATGATTCTCATCCACACACTGGCCAAAAACCTGTACTACGGAGTGAGTTTTCAGATAGCTTTTTTTTTTTTCTTTTTCTTTTTAAAGGCGTGAAAAATAGGCGAACAGGCAGAAACAAAACCAAATGTGCAGTGGAGTCTTGATATATGGTTCATAAATGAGGAAGAAATAAAAAAAAAGCATTATATAGTTAGGAAAAACAATAAATATATACATAAAAACTCTTAGTTACATTACTGATTGTAATAAAACAATGCTGCTATTACTGCTAATAATGATAATAATAAAGTAATAGCAACATTAGCAATGATGATGACATACAATAAGTAGATGTAAACGAAAAAGTAAATTATATCAAGTAAAGTACAGTTCTTTACTCGACATTGTTTAAATATAAACAACCCTGTTGTTGAGACTTCTGTGGGGCAGATTTACCCTTTTCGCTGCCTTCCAGGCTGTTCCTCGACATTCATTACCGATCATTTATAACTCACTGGAAAGCTACTTAAATATCCCTGTTCAGCTCAAATCGGTCTGAAACTTCTCCCTTGTGATTTTTTTTTACACCTCAGTTACAATTCTTTCCTGTAATGTTCCATCCATCATTTGTTTCTCTTGTAAATCCTGAGGTAGATCGAGTGAGGAGGGTTCTGGACGTGCCGAGCGATGAGTTTCTGCAGCCAGTAACTCTCTTAAGTTAAAAAAAAAAAAAAAAAAGACTTAGTTTTCTAAGTGGCAGTGATTCAGAACCAAAACTGACTGGCACAGTTTTCAGACCTCTCAGGTGTGAATTGGTACATCAGAGCTGAGCATCGTGTGTGTGTCCCACTCAGGGCGTCCGTCTGGTGGAGCTGGGCGATCTGTATTTTGACGTGAGCTTGCTGCTCTGGTGCTGCAGCCTGGTGTGGCTCACCCAGCGGGGTTTGTGTTCAGCCTACGTTCCCATGCTGATGGTGGCCTTCCCCCTGGTCACCAGGCTTCTGCTGACAAAGGAATTTAAACACAGAGGTAAAACATTTGCAACTCATTTCGGCGACATCCAAGCGCAAAATTAGTTGTACTCTGGCAGATTTGGAGGTGAATTATGGCCTGCAGTCAACTACGTAACAAATGCGCAGCTCTCTGCCAGCAAGCTGCAGTTTTAGAACGGTATCGCCTTAAGAAGAGTGATGGTGTCGCTCAGTTAGTTCAGACACATTTACCAGAATTTGTCTTGTAATTGAAAAGTGCAGTAGCCATCTTTCAGCTGCTTAACCAGTGGTGCGCAGCAACGTGTAGGGGAGGGGTAGTGCCATTTTTTTCTTTGTCACTCCAGATATTTTTTGCAGTGTTCTTTGGTTTGATTAAAAACAATTAAAATGACCTTCTCACCCCTCCTCACTGCCCTCTGCAGGACCTTCTGCATTGCAACATTGCAGTGGTTTTGTTTATTTATGTATAAACAGAGGTCCAGAAAGAGTCTTATTTGACTTAATGTCACATTAAGACTTGGAATATAATTCCACAAAAACAATGCCTATCCCAGATTTTCTTTTCAATCTTGCAATGTTTTTTTTCCCTTTTTTTTAAACATTTTGTCAACACTTTAGTCAAGTTTCTGTTGCATTTATGAAAGATGTTGACTGCAGAAGGATGTTGTTCATATAAATGTCTTGAAAAATGTCTTGAAAATTAAACAAACTGAGATACGTTTTTTTTTTATTAAGGTCTACAGAAACAACTGAGATAAAAACAAATATATATATCAGCCTGGTTTTTGACGGCAGACATTAAAAGGCAGCTGAATTTCCTCACAAACAGCTTTTCTTCCTCCAGGAGCATCACTGAAGTACAGCGGCCTGTATCTTTTGGGCCTGGCGCTTCCCTATGTCCACTTCATGTTCCTCTTCTGGGTGGTGTTTGAGATTTTCACCCCCATCATGGGCCGCAGCGGCACAGAGATCCCCCCTGAGGTGGTGATGGCCTCTTTGGTCACTTTGACAATCGTCTTCCTCTCCTCTTACTTTGTAAGTATCCATTCAGAAATCCAGAATGTTTAACCAAAGAATCTGTTTTCTATTTTCCAAAAAAAAAAAAAAAAAAAAAAACTCTTACATTTCTATTTAATTTGCTTTAAATAATGTTAGTGATTTTTTAGAAGATTGTGGTGAATGTTGGTTTTACTTTAATGCACATATTTTCTTTTCTCAGCTGCATTTTGTGTATTTGGTGAGGAGCACTAAGTGGATCCTGGCGGCTCTGGGCTCGGTGTTCGTCGTCATGTTCCTGTTGGTGTCGGCCGGCCTCTTCTTTCCTTACTCCGGGAATCCAAACAGCCCACGGCCAAAGAGGATATTCCTGCAGGTTCTAAAGTCACAAAGCAAATTTGTTTCTAGATAATATTACAGAAAAAAAAAAAAAAAAAAAAAAAAAAACCCTGACAGGACAAATTTTATTTGCACAATAAAACTCTCCGTCCCCGATTGCAACACCGTCTCTCTGCAGCATACGACCCGGACCTTCCACAACCTGCAGGGCCGGGTGGAGAGCAGAGACTCTGGCATCTGGATCAACAGCTTCGACTTCACCGCAGTGCAGCACATCACGCCTCAGATCCCCGAGATCAACGACAGCATCCGGACCCGCTGCCGAGAGGACCGTCCCTTCTGCGGTTACCCCTGGTTCCTGCCTGTGAAGTTCCTCAGCAGGTCAGAGCGACAGGCCTGATCGACCGCACGCCGCGCTCGTTTTCGCGTCCTCGGCTCGACTCCACAGAGAGCTTTGGTGTGTTTGCAGGAAGAACTGGTACCTTCCCGCCCCGGAAGTGTCTCCTGGCTCTCCGGTGGACTTCAGCCTCACGTCCAAGGAGGAGACGAGCTGGGGAACTGTCAAGATGACATTCAGCGTCAAAGGTAAAAAGCACATTAGAGTGAAGAACTGAACTTGAGGAGGTGTTAGCAAAAATATTTAGCAATTTCTTTGGGAATTTGCGAGCATTTTAGGTAAGAATGTGTCCTTTTGTCCCTGATGTCTCACTCAGGGCCCAGCCACATGTCTCTGTATCTGATGCCTCACAGAGGAGCCAGTCTGTCCACCTGGTCTCTCGGTGACGGGACGCCTCAGTTTGACCTCAACGGAGAATACTTTGTCTTTTATTCCCACGGCCTCGATGCCGCTCCGTGGACCTTTTGGTTTGAAATACAGGTACCATCTACGACAAACTATTCCTCCATTTTGACTTCAAATATCAGCTACATGTGTCTTGTTTGGAAGTTTTTTGGTGACATTTGGTTCACACTTTCTTATCAGCTGGTGGTGGTAATGCCCTATTGAGCTGGATGTTGTCTGATGTTGACAGGAAATAGCAGAAGAAACTCAACAGTTTGGTAAAAAGAAATGAGCTATATCAATTTTCTCACCCAAGTCCGAGTCAGAAGACCTAAAGATCTCCCCTTTCAGATTAGAAAACATGATCTCAGTAATGTGTTACATGTTTGACGTTCGGATATTCTACTTTCTGTCAGTGGATGTTCTTTCTGTTTTAGTTCTGGACATTTCTGGATTCCTGCTAAGCATGTTCTTAAAGCCTCATCTAGCAAAGTCTGTGGGGGATTAGCTCGTGCTGAAAAACGTGTGTAAATGCATAGATTTATTGTCACATGAAAGTCTTTAGAGGGGACGTGTTATGCAAAATTTACATTTTGCACTTTTTTGCTTCTAAAAGCAGGCTGAGTGCTTTCAGAAAACATTCAGCAGTTTTTGGCACTAAGTTGACATTTTTTTTGGTGTCTGGAAAAGGAGCCGCTTTAAAAACCTTATGACTGTGATGTCACAAATCAGCACGCACTGCCCCTCACATAGCAACCCAAGCAAAGGCCATCCCGTTACCTAGCAACCTAAGTGAAGCTCCAGGACATTTGGTCAGCTGGTTTTTACAGCTGTGTGCGTTGTACAATGGCTGCTGGAAAAAAAAAAAAAGTGTTTTGTTGATGACTTACAATCCAGAAACCAGTTGCTGCAGTCTTGTTGGTTGTGCAGGAGGCTCTACATCTGCTTGTCAAAGATTAGTTGCAACCATTTTTTTACATGCAAATATAAACGTTGACTCGGAGGGGGCGTGGCCAGCTGCAGCTTATTTGAATTTAAAGTGACAGAAGCCCCAAAACAGCTCATCCTGAAAGGAGCTCAAAACTGGAAGAAATCTCGTTATTAAAGAGGGATTTTGTGCAAAAAGACGTGATGCATTTAGAGCTATCTCAGCCTGTTCAAGGCAGCATAACAGGTCATCTTTAAGTACAAAAATAAAACAAGGAGCAAGCAGCTCAGTGTAACGATGAAGCTGTAGGTTTGGGTTCGGTTCCTCCCTCCGTACCGGCGCCGTGAGACTCATGATTTTATTTTTCTGTCAGCCCCCGACAGAACCAGATCCAGCCGGCCCCGAGGGGATGATCTCCGTTGCCATATCGACGCACTACTTCTTCGGCGAAGACCGACGGACTGCTCAGCTGGAGGAAATCCTCCGGAAGTTTCCCACCTGGGCTTTTCCCTCCTCCTGGGTCAGTACCTACGACATGTACCGGTACTGAGGACTTCGCTGCTACGACAGAGGAGCGGCGACGGCCCACTGAGACAGCTCAGAGAACCAATCTGCTGCCTTTTACACTAATACCCGCGCTGCGTGCCGCCCCGCCTGAGAGAGAGAGAGAGAGAGCGAAACCTCCATCACTGTGTCAGCGGGCTGAGCAGCTGACTGACCATCATCGGCGCTCAGGCCACCACAAGCCTTGTGCTCTCTACTGGGTTAGTGAAAAAAAAGGAGACTTAAGTTTGATTTTTTTTTTTTTTTGTACTCAGCTGTGCCTTTGATTTCCACACTCTCACTCTTCCTCCCTCACATTTCGTCCCTCCCACACGCAAGCGCCGATTCACGCCGCACGTGTAAGTCGCTCCGTTTACCAGCAAACCTTCAGGGCTGCCGTCACACTAAACGTGCCTCTGGATCGGCTGCAGACGTCTGTACCGTCCTGACGGGGGAGACGCGAACCCGCTCTTGTGTCGTCTCCTTTTTATAAAAAAGTGAAAAAAGCAAGCAAAAACAAAATGGAACTAATCGTGCACTCAGTCAGATATATGTTGCAAATCCCGACGACTAACCATGAAACTGCTTGTTGTTCCTTCCTGTCCTGCAGATTTGAAGCAAACAACATCCACGGGTTTAAATGAGAGATGCTAATGTCTGCTCAAGCTGTTAAAAAGGCAGCAAAATCATAAAGAGCTGACCGAGGTGTGAGTGTTTCTAAAAGCTCAAGAGAAAAGATATTCAGATGCTGGCTTTGGCAGAGTAAGAAAGAGATGGAGAGAATCCCGTCTTTGTTTTGTTTTCTTTTAAAATCTATCCCTTGAGTCTTTCAGTAACAAAGCTCTCCTGTTCTGTTCCACACCGAAGTGATGCTTACTGACATTTCGTCTTGCTTTAACGTTACTTTTCTTAAAGCTGATTAGCCTTCATGGGGTCTGCAGCAGCTCCACAGTGATTTTCTTTCCCTTAACTGGATTTGTTTTGGTCCACTTGATTGTTCTCTCGTCTCTTTGTGGCTCCAAATGAATCAAAGCAATGAGGAGGTTATGTGTATTAGTTATAATCTAATTAAGTTCTTTACTAGAACGGCAAAAGTTCAGTGAGTTTAATACAAATTTGCACTTTTGATTAGGAAACACTACAGCAAAAAACATTCTTTGTTTTAATTTCATTACCTTTTGCTCCTCACATTAGTGGACCGCTATTTTACCACAATCTGTTCACTAATTTTTTTAGATTTTTATGGGTTGTGACTTTTAATAAGTAGCTCCAAAGTTATTCAAGGTAAAGAAAAAAAATCATTACAGCAAATTTTTCCCTGAAATTAAGAAACTAAATTATATTTTCATTTTATCTTTCTAATAATGGCCGAATATTTTATGGAACAAATATAATTCAGCGTAATTGTTAGATCGGATCTGATGCATTTAGTTAAAAATCCATGAACGTTATATGATTTGTCATACAATATTTGACATTTCTTTGTCACACACATTCGTTCTTTTTGCCGGGAAAGATCTACAGGATGTTTTTTGTCGACTTGTCGACCGTAAACATTCCCATGCAAGTCTTAAATCCTGTTGTTAATTTAAAATAACCTGCCGTGTGACCGGACAATAACTAAACTTTTGAGGACACGAGGAGCGCGTGTGAATGTAAAAACAAAAATCCACCGGTGCTGCTACAGGAAGCCTGTACGATGTTTGGTGTTTAAGTTGTTTCTGTTTTATCTAAACGTGGAGGATCGTCTGTCTGAACAACGGCCCAGCTGCCAACGGCCGCTTTAACCTTGAGACGCAGCGATCAACACCGTTAAGTTATTGAACCCGTTCTTACACTGAATGTTGATGTTTAGCTGATGATTTTGTAGAGTTGCAAACTGAAATGATCTGAATCTCATCAGTCCTGCATTCAGAGACGTCATGCACTGATGTGTTGCCTCCACCTTTAGTGTAACTGAGGCGGGCTCAAGTTGAAACTTTGGGGAAATGTGATTTATGTTTGTTCAATCGTGCAGAATAGATGACGGGACAGAAGGAGGCCTTACGTTTTCACGTGTTCACGTTGAAGTTGTTTCTACACTTCTGCCTGCAATGCATAACATTCTGCAGCAGGTGGAGTTTGTTCTATTAGTTGAGGAGTGGAAACAACAAATTAATACATTTTGATGGTTTATAGAAACGTAGTGAGACGTGCTTGAAAGTTTTACCCAGCTGCTCTGGAACAGCTGAAGCTCTGTTCTTCCCCTCATCATGACAAAGTCCTGACACATACTAACAAACTGTATTTCAGTTTGTTTTTTGTTTAATGAAGTCTTCATTTTTCTTGCTGTGACCTGATAGTACAGCGTAATTATTCTGTTAATTCCAAAAACAGGAAGTGGGCGCACAAGCTTGGGTTTCCAGAAGCGCTGGTGTAAAGTTTGGGATGATTTTCCAGCTGCAACGCGGAGCTGTGCCCAATTTTCAACGATCTAACCCAAACTGTCCTCTTCAGATGAAGGGGAATTGGCTAAAAGAAAGTGGAAGCCTCTGGAACGTCAGTGTCTTAAAGTTTAAACAAGTTGAACATTAGCATAGAATAAGACAAGAAAGGTCGCGCTTCAAAGGCTCCTTTCTTTGCACCATTCTGCCATGATGCCGCCGCCGCCGCCATTATCCTAAACACACATTGAAACTGATTTCAGGCCCCACATGGGCAGAGGTGATGCTGTTTAACTGAGATTCACTATTTCATATGTGAAGAGTATTGAAAAGACAAACAGTTGTATGTTGTGTAATCAGGCCACTTTGTAGGAAAAGCAAACTAAAATAGACAATTTTAATACCCTAATGAGGTTACAACTTTCTCCTTATGACCATCTATTGTGTTAAAGTTAGACGCCACGTGTGATGTCGGTAGACTTAAAAGGCAAACGTGGACTAATTTAATTAACAGTTTAAGTCCATGTGCAGTGTTAAAGGAAAAAAAAATATACGGAAAGTAAATATTTTTCTAGATCTAGTTGAGATTTGAAAGCATAAATAAGCCTAAATAAACCATTCCTTTATTTTCTGTGAACATATTCAGAGGTCCAGAGTATTTCAAGATGTTTTGACGTTAATGTTGGACGTGAAAGTTGTGAGATGATTCGTCCTCCTCCTCCGGTGCTGCTGATGCTCCCACCGTTTGACCACAGCTGCTCACACGCCTTGTGCAAGACGAATAAAAAGGTTTCCTGGAGAAATTGAACTTTAAAATTAAGAGCCGGTGAGGTAATAAAACTGACCAAACACCGAGTCTGTGTGTGTTGTGTCCTGCAGCAGCCTCACACTTGGATGTAGCTTTATTGTATGGGGTTGAGAAATCAACTGCACTCACTGAAATGTCTTAAAGACCTTTTTTTGTTTGTTTTTGTTACCTAAACTGTTGGCTCATGTTTTTGTAAATGTTCTGAACGTTAACAGGAAGGTGGGTCATTTTCATCACCAATAAGACAAATGTTAGTCTTATCAGAGGGGGTGATGTCGTTTTGTGGGACTGATCTGGGTTTCTATTAAGAAGAGATTTTACAATATGCAAAATGGTTGAACTAAAGTAGCACTTGTACAGAAATTAAAATGCTTCTAACTTTGTTGGCTTGTTTTTTTCTTGCATTTCTTAAGTATACTAATGCTTTGATTTTTACAATGATTTATATTAAGTCGTCGTTCCCCCTGTCAGATTTGTGAAATTAGTTTTTAATTTCATCTACTTAGCCATCAGGATCTTATTTTTTAAGCCACAAAACACAATTAAAAAAAATAAAAATCAAGGGATTCATTTTACTACCGAGTTGCTATATAGAGAATTATAAATTCAGGTCATATTTGGGCTAGTAGTTCTGCCTTATGCTAAACTCCAACTCAGACTTTTACAATAAATGCAGAAAGAAATCTAGACATGTAGATTTATTTTGTTATGAAAAGATCTCTAAGGATCCTGGTCTCCTTTAGAGATCGAACAGCAACGTTCAATATTCCCACGTATCCCAGCAGAACACATTAAGTTCGACAAAATGTAAACATTTTCGAGTCGAGCTCAACAAGGCAAAAATATTCATTTTAAAAATAATTTATTGGTCTGTATGTACATGGGGGCGGGGGGGAAAAATAGTAGAAAACTGAACAAGGAGTAGAAAAGACAAAATGTACAAGAGAGTCGTCTTTACACTGCATTCAGGATGTCTGCCGCCTCAGAGCAAACAGGCAATACTTTTAATCTGTACACAGCAGGGAGGAAGCCACGGCCGGCTGTCCACCCCGTCACCCTGCAGCGTAGGGGAAAAAAAAAAAAAACAAACCCATAAAACATCTGCAATATTCATTTCCGTAGGAAACCATCTTGGATTCTGTCAGCATCAGTTTCGAGTGGCGTTGGTTGGATGGGTTCGAGGTTCGGTTCCCTCCGCATAACGACTCTGTCGAGTTTCAACAGAAGGCCTCTGGACGTCGGAAGTCTTTGGTTCGTCGAGTTTGACTGTTTTCAAGTGTGGATAAAGGTGGCGGCGTAGTGTGTGGCTGAGGAGGTTGGTGCCCGCTGGAACTGGATTCAAATTCACGGCAACGCTTTTTTTTTTTTTTTTTCTGTTCTGAGACGGCGATTTCTGACGGGAGATTTCCGAAACAAACCGCCGCCTTGAGAGCCGACGGTTTCGACACAGGCGAACCTACAGACTGTTTCGGTCTACGATAAAGAGAAAAACACAGGCGGAGGACATAAAAAACATAAAGCTTAAGTAACATTTCAAACGCATTGCACATTATAATACTGCCGAAACCCTTTTTTAGTGCCTGTGGTTGACAGCCAACGCACCAGTCTGATTATTTAAGCTCATTCTCAGTCATAAAAACAAACCTCCACTCTGCTATAATGCCAATAAATAAACAGCAACAATGAGGACTAATACGATAAAATCAGTTCAGAGTGATCACAGCCGCCCGTCATGCTAATACGTAATGAAGACGGGGGAGAGCAGCAAACTCACTGCACCGCTGGAGAGGACGAGTCAGATCAGTTCCCTTTAGTTTACACTGCTGCCTCACTGTTAACACTGCAGGGGAGGAGGAATTTACCACACAGTGATAGAAACAGAGAAAACAAAGCAGCTTTAAGAGCATGTCAGTGACTGGATGAATTATTATTATTATTATTAATAAAAGCTAATTTGGGTTCTGCTTTATGCCCAGTTTGCTTGTATGGAAATTTGAGAAAACAGCCGACACAGTTCAGGGAGCTCAGGATTCTGGTACCTTTAACACCGATTCCCTTCTGAGACAATACTACACACCAGAGCCACGCTGAACTCAGGTGTTTTTCACAGGGAGTTGGGGTAATCCAGAGTGATAGAAGTTGGTAGAAAAATAATCTTGCTGGTCCAGTTATTTAAAAAGGTATGAAAATATCCTAAAGCGATGAGGTATGGAAGGATGAAACTCCTCGTGCTGCAGGCTCGGACACAATCGCATGGTTTCTGAGCAAAGCTTTGTTCTGCAGTCTGCTAAGTAATGCAGCATGATGTTCAAACTCTTTGAATTTACTGGAAAGAAAGAAAGAGAGAGAGAGAAAGCCTGGTGCTTTTCTGTGCTGCTCTGCAGCTTCCCAACACCTCCAGGAGTAGAAACTGACATAGCTGACCTTTTTTTCCACACACAGAGCACATTTTGGTGAAAAGCTAGACAAAGTCAGAGCCTAGCTGGTAGCTCAGTACGCCTTGAATAAAAGGGCGGATTCATAGATAGAATAATACTGACTGAAGTATGAACCTGGAGGGAGAGGAACTTTCTGTGCGCAGACATGCTGATGCAAACTAATTCCAGTCAGCAGCTGCTGCTGCTTCCTCCGTCTGAAATTCACAGGTTGGAGTCCCAGGATTGGGCGCTGGCGTTCAGGACAAGGTGCAGTCGTAGTTCCCCTCCTCCTCCCTCTGCTCCTCCGTTTGTTCAGGCGGAGAGTCTTCAGGCGGAGGGCGGGAAAAGACTCCGGCGGGTTCGAGCGTGGGCAGCGCCAGGCCGAGCGGAGCCGCCCCCCCTCTGCTGTCCTCGGGCCGGGGGGCGGCGGCTCCGCCCGGGCCTTCGGAGGCGGCCAGCTTGCAGCTCTGGCTGGCGGGCTGGAAGGCCTCGGGCTGCACCTGCTCCGCCGTCGAGTCCAGCAGCTGCTGCAGCTGCGGCTGGATCAGGTTGAGAAACGGTTTGTACCCCAGGCTGGTGGAGAGCGGAGAGAAAACAGGAACGTCGAACTTAAGGCTTTTCAATGCCACCTTGAATGAAATTTAAGGCTTTTCAATGCCACCTTGAATGAAATTTAAGACATGATTTGATTTGGGGAACTTACTGAAAATACTAATATAAATATTTTATTACAGAATAGTATAACATTGTTAAATATACAGTTAAATATGCTATATTAAGCCTAGCAAATATAACTTTTCTTCCTCGTTACAATTATACGTTACTTTGTATTAAAACTCCTCAAAATACTCTGAAGTTTGTATTTGTGTCGAAATGTGAAATATGTAACTTGTAATGACTAAATCTGCGAGGTGCAGCCGCTGTCTGAACACCCACCAGTCACTGGAGGCCCAGGCGTCAACGGCCAACAAGCCGTTCCGGAGGCTCTGTGTCGTCTCTGGAGGGACCTCTGGGCTGTCCAGGAAGCTGACCACCTGCTTGATGACACTCGCGTCCCTCAAGATCAGACCAATCACAACACACCACTCCAAACAGCCCGCCTCCATGAACACGTGCAGGAGGTACCTAAGGGACAGACGTCAAAACAGAGCTTTCTGGTTTGAATCCCACAAATGTTTTAACTAGAAAAAAATAAAAAAAGAGAGATGAAATTCTGAGATTCTCACCTGAGCTGCACCTGGGACTTGTGCGGGCCTTTGTTGGCCAGCTCCATGGAGATGTGCTCCAGCTCGGCCTGACTCAAGCTCAGAGTGGAGGAGTTCTCGTCGACCATGGTCCAGTCGCCGTCCACCACTGAGCTGGTCTCTGTGAGGTCCGTAGCCGAGCCGACGCTGTACTCCTCCACTGAACGCAGAGACAGACATGAAGAGTCAAAGCCTGAGGTTTTTTTTTTTTTTTTTTTTTTGTTTTTTTAAAGCAGGCTGACAAGGATCGATTTTTACCTTTGTTAGTTAGCAGCGACAGGAAGGCGTCGTGCGTCTGCGGTGAGTTTTGGTTGGAGTGAGCAGACGAGGCTGTGTCCGGGTCTTTGGTGCTCTGCTCGAGCCCGTCCATCCAGGTGTGGTTGGCGGTCGCGGCGGAAGGCGGGGCTGTGTCCATCTCGCTGTTCAGCAGACTGTCTGCAGACTGAGACTTCAGCAGCTGCGTGCTCAGCACTTTGAGGAACGGGGGGGGGTGAAAAAAAACACAAAAACGATCAACAGGAGCGAGAGGAAGCTAAAACGCAGCTAAATTTCCCGTCTGCTCACCGCTGCGACAGCGTCCGTTCTTCAGAGGGGAGCTGAGGCTTCCCACGGGGATGACGGGGAAGGGCCAGAGGAAATCTTTGTGGAGCTTCTTCAGAGCCGAAACGAAGTCGTCGACCCGCGCCACGCGGTTTCTCTCGCGGCACAACCAGCCGATGAGCTCGAAGCCCAGCTGGGCGGAGAAGCACCCGAGGTCACGGAGACGCACCTGCTCCAGGAGGTGGCGGGCGTGGCGCCACAGCATCATGTCGATGTACATGTTCTCTGCACACTCCACGTCCCGACTGAGAGCAGACACCACACACACTCACTGAAGTGATGACGGCCGGATGGTAAAGGTATCTGTTATTAAGCTAACCCATACTGGGCCCGTACCCTTTGGCAGACGATCCGCTGGGCATGCTGAAGGTCTTCTGCAGGTTGAACTTTCCCGTGGAGATGGAATCTGCAGACTGAGACAAGCTGATGCTGCGATTTCTGAAGAACTCAAAGCCGCCGGTTGAGCTGGGTTCCTGAAGAAATCATGGTGTTTACTTTATTTCCATGTTCATCTTTACAAAGATATGATTCTTATTGTCATAAATAGTTAAAACTGTAAGGAGAAGGGAGGATTTTCACATGAGTTATGAATCTGAAACACAAATTATCTGAATATTTCATCTGGGTTCGTACAGATTTCTCATAGTAAAATTCAAACATTTAAGGATTTCCAGGACTCCTATGAACACCGTTTTATGTTTTTAGATGTACATCATCCGGAATTTTGGCAAAAACAACAACAATAAAAAAACAGTATGATTAAAGAAAACTATAATATCATGTATGATTACATTCTCTGACCTGAGTTGATGGCGTTGGGGGCGGAGACTCCATCTCTCCTGAGCCAATGGCTTTGAGGAACCGGATCATGTGCCGACACAGGTCCCACTTGCCTTGCTCCAGAGCCGTGTTGAAGAGAAGAGTGGCGTGCTGCCGGCTCACGGCTGGAACCTCCATGTTCTGGAGGTAAACATAAAAAAATAAAAAAAAAGTTCAATTTCATCCCTACTGATCCGACATTTCACAGAACAGTGGGGTTACGTACGCAACGTTCGTTTTAGTCTAAACGGGAACTGGTTAGGTTGTTTCCCTCTTTCTCACCTGCAAGATGATCAGGTAGGA